ATGTATATATGTATATATGTATATATGTATATATGTATATATGCATATATGTATATATGTATATATGTATATATGTACATATGTATATATATGCATATATGTATATATGTATATATGTAGATATGTATATATGCGTATATGTGTATATGTGTATATGTGTATATGTATGTATGTATATACATATATATCTGTCTGTATATATGTATATGTATATGTGCATGTATATGCAATACACGCACACCTCCATGCATGCATGCATGCATACATGCATACATACATACATTCATACATACATAGGTATATTGATATATTCACGCGCATACATACGCATAAGTATGTATAAGCACTGAAAAAATACTTAGACATAGATCGAAATGAACAAACACATAGACAGATACATACTTGAATTTGGTAACTTCATTCGATTACATACGTCGAAGAAGACATTAATACGCACAACAATACATACGTACATAAACAGTTACACAAGCAAATAAGCAATATGTATGTATGCATGCATGCATGCATGCATGCATGGATGTATGTATGTATGTATGTCTGTACGTACGTACGTGCGTATGTATGTAAGTAAGTAAGTAAGTATGTATGTATGTATGTATGTATGTATGTATGTAATTGTATGTATGTATGTATGTATGTATGTATGTATGTATGTATGTAATTGTATGTATGTATGCATGTATGTATGTATGTATGTATGTATGTATGTATGTATGTATGTATGTACGCATGTATACATGTATGTATGTGTATGTATGGGCTTTGTCCCTACGAGCATCGGCTGGAGGGCTACCAGGCGACAAGTGCGAGCTGTCATTTTTATAGTCTTTGGGCTGTGGAAGCTGACAGTAGTAACCAGGTGGCTTATGGCATCGCGCATGGGATCACCTGGCAACTTGGTGGGAACGATTCTCTTGAGGTTTCACAGAACGAAATCAGTTTGAAACGTTCAATGCATCAGCTTGCTGCTTGGATTTGGCGGGTCTCTTACTTCTTGGTTTGGCCTGGAAGTTGCAGATGTTTAGATGTCAGCCGGGTGTGGATGATTGTGTGCGGACTTTGTTGGTGCTGCCCATCGTCCAAGCATGACAAGAGGGCCCAGTGGCCCGAGGCAAACGAAAGTGCGACAGTAACTCGCAACAATGACCAGACGTAGGGAACGTGAAATACCCTAGTGAGCCCAAAAGAATCCGTATCCAAGCTCCTGAGAAGTCGTAACAATTACATGGGTAACTAGAATCCCACATGCAGCTGCGCCACACGCCTCAAGTCGTGAGTTTCCAACCTGAAAAACCAAGAGGCAGCAGCAGAGGCATCGCTGCTAAGTAGGTTCGCAGGGCTTTGCTCTGCCCTCCCTGTGCAGCTTTTTCAGGATCCTCATCCTGCCGATTTTCTTTGGCGGCTTCTTCGCTGCTCTCATGATCATGTTCATCCTCCAGGACTGATTCTTTTCTTGTCTCGGCCTCGGGGACGCGGCTCATCACATTTTAGGAGGAGGGAAACGCAGTTTGGGCGGTGCCTTTCCCGAGGGATGTTTCTTAAAGGTGGCTTACAGAGTGTGAGGGGAGGAGGGAAAGCAACAGGGCACAGCGAGCTCCTGCTCATCGTGGAGAGCATTCAGCACGGCTTGGGTGCGGTTGGACGACATACCCACGGGGCACAACCAAATCTGTCCGTCTTGCCTCTCATTGAGGCTTGTGGCGTTTGACAACCTTGGGCGCCAGAGCGTTTTTTGCATTTCTAGTTTGATTGACTTGTTGCATGCGCCGTTCTTGCAGAGTCCGAAGAGCTTCGACATGCGAGGCCTCTGTGTCGAAATAAGACGGTAGGCAATGCCGGGAAGTATTGTCTGCCAAACCTTACTGCACGAGTCGGGCACACAGTTATAACTCGGGTTACAAACACATGGTTCCGGCCTTCAACTGATAGGAGCTATTTCTGACCGCAACACATGATTATTCAGGTGCTTGTTTGTAAACTGTAGTTGCAAGCCTTCATTATCGGTAATCTTTCGGTTGCACCCCCCGCGCCAGATTCTCCTTGGTTCCCGTATGGCTCCCACAATCGTGTTGTCAGTCAGACCTTTTTCTCCATCATCACCCGCATTATCATCCCGATACACTTTGCCAGTCCCAAGCACTGAGCATGACGGCAATTAGTTGCAAGTCGCGTAGATGCATAGTTCTGCAGATGCGCGGATTGATGGGTGGTGCTGTGACTGCGACAGGAGCTCTGCTTTATGGCCCTGCTGACAGCTTTTAACGATTTGAACGAGGACAGCGGTGCTTTCGCTTTAGGCCGAGGTTCGTGCGAGTCAGACAGTCACAGGGACGGATGTAGCCTTGTTCAGAAGTGCCAGTACGGAAAATTCCAAGTTTTTGATCCGATCCCGTTTGAAGGAGATTGCCTTTAGTGGCCTGGAAGCCGTCGCCTTCTCCGAGAACTCGATCCATGTCTCCGTTCACGACCTTTACCGGTTTCAGGCCACTCAAAGATTCCAGTGACGTTTCAGAGCTCATCAGGGCCGTTGTTGATGCCTTTTTGATCCTTGGCACTTTGTGCTTCTGTCTGAGCCCCGAGTAGACAACGTCGACCGAGCCGCTCACACTCCCGCTACTCTAGACTTTGTCACCGGAGACATCCAAAGTGAAGGAACTGTTGTGGTTGACGGCCTTGCCTCTCGGTGATCACTGCACGATCCAGGGAGCAGTGCCAGCACAACATCGTGGCGTGTCGGGTGTCGCAGAAACCAGCTTCCGGTGACAATTGAACCGGCCATTTCAAGAGTTGACGGAGATCCCGATCGAAGTTCCTTCAGACACCTGTCCAGCAGAAGCAGCACCAGCGGACGGGCAGGTGGGTAACAGAACTAGTTGTACTCCTTTCCTTTCCTTCCGCTCCTTCCCTCCCTTCCTTCCCTAGAGTGTTTTCCTTGCCTTCCTTCCTTCCCTACCTTCCCACTTCGGCGCATGGTTCTCAGAGCTCCGGTTTCCTGTGCTTCTCCAAAGCCGGACGGTTCCACAGCTTTCCCGGCTGTGTTGCTGACCTTCGAGCCAGAGTGAGTAGCCCAAGTACTGCTCAAGAGCCCCAGGCCCCAGTCCTCGGGTTGTACCATTTTATTCGGATCAACTACTGCCGTCAGGTGAAGTATGCCAGCAGCTGGGCGTTGCACCCAGGATGCCACTGGAAAACATCTCATCGATTGTAGTGAGAGCTGTGAGAGTCCTGGAGCAAACGAAGGCCCACCGGTCTTCGTGCAACTGCGAATTACGAGCTGCAAGCTTTGCACACGGACCAGCCAAGGTATAAGAAGATCCAGGATCAGGTTGCCATGTCACTTGGTCTTCATGAGGTGTTCAGGGTTGTTGAGTGTCCGCGCCTTTGTGGTTCACAAAATGGTCCTTCAGAGTCAACCTATGTTTGGCGTGGCTCTCCGTGGAAGCTTGGGGCGATGCGTTTCCAGGTTTTGTGCACCGATCATAGCCTCGGCACGCGATACGACGGGACCAAACCATCAATTGATGGGTACTTCATCGGGTGACATTGCTCTCCGAAGTTCAATCCTAAGAATGCTACGCAGCAGAGTTGCAAAGGGCAACATGGGAAGCCCTTCCGATCGCAGCACCCATTCTATATTCTAGTCCTAATCTTGCTCGTTCTCTCGCTTGATCAGATTGAGAAGAGCGATTGGAGTCCTTCGTACATTTCCAAGGAAAGCCCAAGTCCGACGTGCGGCCGAGGCCTCTGCAAATCTTCTGGGTGATCGAGGTCAGCATCATGATCTGGCCGCCCGTCACTGCAGAAGAAACCGGAGCGGAGGGACGAACGCTTTCCGCGTCGTGCTGGGGAGTCATGGGTCGGCTGCAGGGCGGTTGCAGTGACGTTAGTGAATCTGAGCAAGATTGGGTGCGACGTGGCTTCAGGTCAATCTGGAGCATGACCCAGGGGATCGCGGCGGACCCAGGCGATGAGCGTGTTCTAAGGCTCAAGTCCTACTGGAGCCTTGGAATTGCTTTCAGCCTTGGTTGCAGGATGGCTGTTTTTCAGGTCTCTCTGACAACTCCATGCAACCCTGGCTCAAGACCTAGGAATCTCATCGTCCGGCTCTCCTGGTTCGTTGGCGGATCGCCCTGGTGCCGCGGTCTCATGAAGAGACATGCTTCAGGGTCTCCTCTTTGGCCCCAGCTCGAACTACGTTTGCCTTTGCTGAGATGCGCTTGCCCTGGTCGCACAAAGAACCTCGAAGTTCGGACGTTGTCGACCGCGGCAGGTTTGGAGCTGGGAGTTGGATCACCGGAATTCTGCCGTGGGGAAGCAGCTCAGCTTCGCTTTAGTATCCCAGAGAAGGCGCGCTTTGGGAGGTCAAGCGATTTTGAGGTAAAGCTCTGTTTGGTCAGTGCGATCTCCAGAGTCGGAATCGCGTCGTGAGGCACGCTTGTTGGCTGTTACATGCATAGACTTCAGGCCTGTCCTTTGCCATGTGGGTAGCTTTTAGGTCCCCAATATAGTATGGCACCCTCAAAAAAGGACCCTAAAAGGAACCCTAATTTAGACAACTGCCCATGTCTCTGCAACTGCCTGAGGTAACTATTATGCTTGGAGGATGCTGGGCCGCGTTTGCTGTTCGGGGTTCCGGGTTTTGTGCGGTTGTGTCCCGTGGGTCAAAAGCGCCGAACACACTGGTGACAGCAAGATTATTTCGGATCTACTTGGTGATCTACTTGCTGTCACACGAGCGCCATTGTCAGAGTTTTTGACCTCGTCCCCCTCACCCTCCACATGTGCATGTTTGCCATGTCAATGTCAGAGTTCCGGCCGTCAATACCGCGCCGTGATTGCCACTTCGGTGAGTCTGGCCAGGGATGAGAGTCATTTCGTAGACTTCTTGCATCCCGGATGGGAGTCCCAGGATGGACAACCTCACCAAGCGCTTGCTGTTCAAGCAGCCGACGCTGAGGAACTCGATGCGTACATTTTTGAAGGACGCAAACACAGGGCTTGCATGGACTTCAACCTAGCTGCTTGTATAACAACATCTACCGGCTTTATAGCGCCTGTTGGGAAAAGGCTGGTAGTTGAACAGCATGGTCACATTTGTCGTAGTTCGCATGTGAGTCTGACTTCAGATGACTCGAGAGTCACGTGCCGGCGCATTGCGACGAGGGGCTCGGAGGTCACATACACTGATGATCTGTGAAATGCTGGCAGGAGTTTCCTTTGGAATTTCGTAGCGGCTTCCTCCAGACCACGCCGCTTCTGCTCCCACTCTTCTCCGTCATCCTTGCCACGAATACCGTGGGCTTCGTGTTCGACGCACTGCGCCTTTTCAATGCCATCTGAGCGCCAAATGCTTTCATTTAGCTACGTTCGTTTAGGCTGCGGGCCCCAGCTGTGTCCGTGCTCCTATGGGTTCAAGAACCCCCATGGACACCTTCGGCTGCGGCAGCGTTCTCCTCACAGCCCTATCAGCCCAGCTGCCAGCTGTAGATCAATGTGGCTGTTGCGTAACACCCCTAAACCTTGAGGCAAACCTAATTACGCAGCCTGTTCCGCATTCTTTTTGCATTCAACATATTTACTATTTGGGAGTTTCCGAAAAAATTAGGGTACCTTATTTTGGG